TTCGCCGGGACAGCTGGTTTTCCAGCAGCTGGGACGGGGGGTTTACTGTCCTGTGGGAAATTATGGAATGTGGGGTTAGGTTACAATCTTAAACTATCTGCTCAACTCTGAAGAAGGATGTAGGAGCTCACCTCAAGAGTTTGTCTACAGGGTTGAGGGCTGATTGACGTTTTCCGGAGGTCAAGGCATAGTCTGTTTATGTCTTCCTCCTCCTTGGTTGGTTTATCTGCCAGAAGCAAGACGTTTATTAGTCTGATTATGCAATTTGGGTAATCCAGAAATGGTGTAGGTTAAACTAGTAAGTGCTTACTTTGAGTCTCCAAGTACTTGGCTTTGTCCTTCTTTCCACCGAACAGGGCGGCTGCGGCTTTCTTGAAGAAGCTCTTGGCAGGGCTGGTGTGGTGAAGGTCTGGGGCCGCATGGCAGCAGTTAGCAGACAGTCTGTCTGGTGTGAAACCCTGATATAAGAGGAAAAAAACAAGCTCAAAGCCACTGAATATATCATTGTGTGGGAACTCGTCAAGATAGTTTCGTTTCCACAAAGAGTCACTCACCTGGCAGAAAAAGTCGTGGCGTAGGATGTCATCGAGTTGTGGCCTATCCATTGGGTTTTTGGCCAGCATACTGCTGATGAGATGCTTGGCTTGGGGCGACAAAGACGACGGCATGGAGTATCGCGCTTCCCGAATGCACCGGTAAGTTTCTTTAAGGTTAGTAGTTTCAAATGGAGGTCTTCCCAAAAGCATGGTATACCTGTTTGGATGCAAATTGTCCATTATAAATAAGCATTTCCATGACATTTATGTGAAATCCAAGAGAAACGTTGGCCGATATACTTACATCACACAACCGAGTGCCCACACATCAGATTCACATCCATGCCCTTGCTTGTTGAGGACTTCAGGCGACAAGTAGTTTGGTGTTCCACATATTGTTCTTCTACGGTTCTCGACCGGCTCGAGCTTTGCAGCCAAACCAAAGTCTCCAACCTTGAGCTCCATAGACTCGTTGATGAAAAAGTTACCTGGGAAGAGCAACAGAATTGGGGTTTATTACATTTACATCTACGCATTTGGCAGATGTTTTTTTTTTCCCAAAGTGATTTGCATTGCATTCAAGGCAAATGTTTTATCAGTTCATGCATTCTCTGGGAATCAAACCCATGACTTTGGCATTGCTGCCGCCATGTTTGAACTACAGGAAGGCCATATTATTGGGGTTTGAATGTATGTGCTAGTTGCTTACCTAGTTTAAGGTCTCTGTGGAGGATTTCTTGCTCGTGGAGATACTTCAACCCAGAGACGATCTGTCTTAGGTAGTACCGAACCTCTGGTTCTGTAAGCACTTTTCGGGCCTTGAGAATATGTGCTAGTGACTGAAGAACAAAAAAAAAACTGTACATGAGCAACAATATTTCCTACAAGATCCGTTTCATCAATCGAAGAAGGACGTCAATAGCACTCACCCGTCTGCTGCAGTATTCAAGTAGAATGTAGATATTATCTTTGTCCTCGAAATGGTGGTAGAAGTGAACGATGTGTTTGTGATGCAGGGCTCTGTGCAATTCAATTTCTCTGTCGATCTGTCAATCAAACGGTTGCAAGCTTAATAAACAATTCAAGCAATGCAGTCAGGAGCAAATACGTGACAACAGGAAAGCAAGTTACCTTTTCCCTTTGGTGAGGTTTGGAAACGCGCGTGTGTGGAATGATTTTGGCTGCATACATTTTGCCTGTGCTCAGATCTGTAAATTCATAGCATTTGGCAAAACCACCCTGAGAGAGAGAGAGCGGTGAAGGGTGAACGCAGGAATAACGAGCGAGAGAGAGAGAGAGAGAGAGAGCATGCATTGTAAGACAATGACAAACTAGAGCATTACATATAAATACAATATATTCAACTGGTAACCTCTTATGCATAATTTTGCACATTTATGCATAACTATTGTTATTGATTTGGTTTATTGAAAAGAAACAAAACTCAAAATAAACACTTTCAAAGTACTATAGGCTTTAATATGTAGCATGGTATTATCATATTACTGTACTATTGTATGTAAATGGTGCTCCAAAAATACTATGGTATTACTTTTTCATAAGTCAAATGTAAAATATTTACCTTGCCCAAAACTTTTCCTCTACAGTAACATTTCCCAGTGGCTGAATCAGTGATGATGCGTGACATTTCCTGCGTGGCGTGAGCATTATTATCCTCTGATTTCCCTCGTCTGCGCTCGGTGGGTCTGTGGTGTGTGTGTTCACACATCTTGCCGTTATTCACAGGCTGATGATGATGATGATGGTGTGTTATAGTCCTGAGTATGTCCATGCTCGAGTCCAGACTGGGAGGAATCAGCACAGAGCCTCGCTCTTATACACGGCACGCGCGCCGCTCCGCCCAGTTATTTTTATTTTCACTGGCGCGTCACGCGGCGCTGGAACTAGACTCGCGTCTCTGAACAGCGACTGGAAGCGCAAAATCAGTGTTATGGTTTGCGCGTTGACATATGGAATATTTTATTCCTGAGATTAGACATATCTGTAAAGCACAGTTGTAATAACTTTTATTATAGTAAATTGCAATGAAATGTATAACTTTAACATAGAAAAAGAAACTACAAGAAACAAAATTCATTTTAATGTTATATTTCAGATTTTTCAATTCTTTTATTATTGTTGTTGTTATTATTATTGTTATTTATCTATACTTAAAACCCTCTGTATCTTACAATGTGTTTTGTAAATGTTTCAGATTTTTAACGCATTTTATTCACTTAATATTACTTTATTCAATCTGTCCATGTAGTTTGTTACAATATTTTGTATCTATAAGTTTGACTAGGACATGCATGGGCATGTTTTAGAGACTGTATATTACAGTAAAGTTCTCCAGCGCCACCATGTGGTGGATTTACACTAGTTTGAATGGATTTGGTTGTGTGGCGCATGTATGACTCATACTGACACTCCTGTTACACACAGCCAGCAGATTTCTAATAACATTGTTGATTTAGATATATGAGAAGCATTTAACCTTCATAGATCATAATATTATATTTAGAGTCTAGATTTTAGAAATCAAATAAATATGCTTGTGTTTTTACCATTTTTCCCACATATTTACATATTGTCATGGCTAATGCATATGTGGTTTTTTTTTTCTTTATAACAGTTTTTCCTTTTGCAAGATGTGCTCAGCATCTAACAGTGAGTAGGCCTATGATTTGACTACAGTGTTAAACATTCATGTCCAGAAAACTGCCCTCAAGGATCCTTTATTCATCGAAACGGCCATCAGCTTTCAGTGTTCTGCAAATTAAGGTAACACATTTTATAAAATGCATTGCTTTTTTTTGAAGTGGTCTTGAGGAAGAGTGGGAAAATGTTTACTTTTGTTTGGATCAGCTGAAGTGTGTTGATGCTGTTCTGTGGTTCTGAGAAGGCTGGTTTTCAAGTCCTAAAATATAAAGTGTTTACATGCAGAATTCAGTTATTTATAGTTAAATTCAAAAGGTAAACATTTATATTGATTGCATGCAAACAATGCAGATTCACAGTGCGGGCTTATTAAAACACATAACAGTGTAAAATTAAAAGCAGATCCCATTTTCACTTTTTTTCCTCTATTGCTTTTCATGTCTAGCTGACCACATGTCTCATTAATTATTCATAAGTGATGTCAAACTGCAGCCTGGAAGGTTCTTCTATAGCAGGGTGTAAAGTGTATGGAAGAGTGAGGAGCTTGTGTTTGCAGGGTTAGTTGGTGGACATTGCATAAAACATAAGCTTTATTTTCCAGTCAACAGCATCAGTTTTAATTGAGGGTAAAATAGCAGGCAGTGTAATAAGTATGTAAACGTGACAGATCTATTCTGGGTATACAAGACATGCAAGGCAACTTCTTATGAGACAATTATGAGACAAATGATCCATGATGATTAGATGTTTATGTATTATATCCCTAATAACCAAGATAACATTTTGAGAGCGTTTCATTCATGCTCCTACTGCATTTTAATATGACAGACATACAGTTGAGTGAAAAAAAAAAAAAATTAATCTTGAGACCATGTTGAAAATCTTGGATTGTGTTTCATTTGAACCTTGAAATAAAGTTTCAGGATTTTTAATGTCAAAATAAAGGACTATTTCAGATTCAGTAATGTATCTGTTTCTAACCAAAAAAAATAAAAAATTAATCTTGAGACCATGTTGAAAATCTTGGATTGTGTTTAATTTGAACCTTGAAATAAAGTTTCAGGATTTTTAATGTCAAAATAAAGGACTATTTCAGATTCAGTAATGTATCTGTTTCTAACACAAATCAAATGTGAGTTAATGAGTGGCATTGATCCTGTGGCTCTTTGTACTGACAGAAAAATGTGAAATTCAAGATGCTTTTTGAATCATCGCAATTCCAGTGTTATTTTAGTATCTGTGAGATACTATTCTATTATGCTTTCATTTTAATTTGACCTTTTTTAATTTTTGTTTGTTTTTGTCATTTTTATTATCTGTATTTTTTAAATGTCTAGAGTTTTTGTTCATTTTTATTTTTATTTTTTATTAATTTAATTTATCAAAATATTTTTGTTATTACAATCATTTTTGTTAATGTTTGTTTTATTTGAAGCGACATGATTTTATTTGAATAAAATAATAATAACCTTGTTTAAATCATGCTGGAAATGCTAGGAAACTCTGAAATATATGTCCGTTTTTTGGTTTAACTTTTTAATTAAATATAGTAGAAAATGTCAAATAGAAGCATTTTCATAAGTGAACTCAGACTTTTCGACTCCAATGTACAGTGTATGTCCAATACAAGGCAAGAAATGACTGAAAACAGTGCAACAATTTATTTAACATCACACATCAAATACATCAGCTTGCTTTGGAATAGTATTTGGAAATTCATAGACTTGACAGTCACGCAGAACGATTAATCATCTGATTTCTGAGCTGCATGTGGCTTGTTTGTCACCATTGAGAATGGACCGCTCACTGGAGACCAGAAGGCTGGTTCAGGCCTGTGATTGGTGAGAAGATGTTCTGGACGGTTCTCTAGCAGTGTGGACATCATAAGTTCAGACCTGGTTTAATCCAGATCCAGCAGTGCAGCTGTGGGGCCAGTGAGGAAAAGGGAAACGGCACACAATGACTCTGACATCCTCAGGAAGTTCCTTTAACAACTTCTCTTCCAGAACCCCCATCTGCCACGTTAACACATAAAAATCATCATTAAAAATCGTCAACCCTCAAATGCTTTACAAAAAGTCATGCTATAAGATGTTTTGCTAACACTTAGGTTTATTATAGTGAACTTAAACTAAAAGCATTAAAAAATATATTCCTTACTCGAAATAAACACTAACTGCAAGAAAATGTTAAATGGAGTATATGTGTGTGTATGCAATGTACATGATTTTCCAGCTACATTTTTCATTTTCATTTAGTTTAACTTGATGTACTACACTAGCTAAAACTAAAACTGAAAGAAAAATTAAAAGCTATATACGAATTGCAAAAAATAACAAAAATGAATAAAATGTCAAAGTTACTAAAACTTTACATTTCAGGTAAAAGAGGAAAATAAAAACGAATTAATAATAAATTAATTAAAAACTACTATAGTATATAAATGATACTTTAACAATTTACAATACATTTAAAATAACTAATGCGCTAAAACTAAAACTGAAAGAAAAATTAAAAGCTATATACGAATTACAAAAACGAATAAAATGTCAAAGTTACTAAAACTTTACATTTGAGGTAAAAGAGGAAAATAAAAACGAATTAATAATAAATTAATTAAAAACTACTATAGTATATAAATGATACTTTAACAATTTACAATACATTTAAAATAACTAATGCAATAGCATTTATTAATTAATGTCAATTTCAATTTTCTTATATTAACATAATGCATCATGAATTAACAATGAACAATACTATATTTCTAAATTAACTCAAATTAATAAATGCTATAAAAATAGTACTTTTTGTTTATATCTTATGCGTTAACTGAAGTTAACATATTGAAGCTTACTTGCATGTTTTAATGCAAGCAAGGACACAAAAGAAGTGTCAGCATTTTATAAAAATAAAACTTCATGAAATGCATGTGGGATTTGCAAGTAGATGACAGACAGAAAATGAATTATGTGATCCTATAGCGCCCCCACATGTCAATCCAGCAACATACCACTGCAGGAGCTAGAAACACGGTCACGTTTCTGTATTTGGACAGATTAGTCTGAAATATCAAAGAGCTGCAGTAAGGAAAGCTATAGACACGTTTGACATAATGTAAAATACTTGAAATACATACATATAAAGCTTGCCTTCCAGAAGTCCTGTTTGACGAAATGAATATGAGAGTGCGGTACTCCACGCCACCATGCTTTACTCCTTGAACAGGCCAATAATATGGAGTTTATTTCAAAACCTGTGCATTGAAATCCCATTGACGATGCTGCAAAAGCCTGCATTTCAGAACAGGACAGTTAATACATGAGATGAAGTATAAGCTCCAAAACCTGACATTTTATCCATGACTTACCAAACGTCCATCGCCTGATCCCAGGTCAGCCAGATGGCCTTTGCGTCCTTCTAGAAGCTTGATAACATTTACAGTTTGTTCTATTGTTGAAGGTAAAAATGGCACCTGGGAGAATATCATACCAGACCTTTTCAGCTTCCTTAGCTTGTCTCAACTTCTCTCTATTAAAGAGAGAAATGTGCAGAAAGTCAAAGCACCTTTAGTCTGAAAGGGACTCTCAGTCCAGGCATGCAGAACATGGCCCAGAGTCTGTAGACTCCAGCGAAGGCAGATCCAATCAGTAAGGTGACACTGCAGATGATTGAACCACCTGCTGCTGTGCTCCTCAAGGATGACCTCAATACAGTCCTCCATACTGTAAAGCATCTCGGGGCAAACATATTGCTTTTTCAACATAAGTATCCATTGTATTGTTTGTAGGATTGAAATTAGAATCAGAAGCTAACAGAATTGTGTATGGTTTAGTATGGTTACTGTATGGTTTAAAATAGTATGGTTTAATTTAAATGAAGTTCAAATATAATATAAATATTAGGTGAAAAACTAATAAGTTGAAGTTGAAATAAAAAATGAAAATGAAATAAAAAATAAAAAATGTAAAGCTAAATAGAGATATACAACAAAACGAATAAAAATGATAAAAAGAAAATTTAAACTAAAATGAAAACTGAAAATATAAAAATAAAAGCCAGTTCAAAATATTTATAAATAATATAAAAGTATATACATAATACTAAAATAACATTGTATCACTGCTGTGAGTAATTACATCTTGCTTCTCAAAACTGAATCTGTTTTTTAGTTCATCCACTACAATTTGATTGAATTTTTAGTAGACTACTCTTGTCGAAATATTGAAATAATAACTGGAATTATTATTAGCATTTCTTTAGATTTGTTTTATACATTTACACTTACATAAATTCAGGTTCATAGAATTGTTTCCTACGACCAGAGATTTGCAAAAGCTTTAACAAACACTAAAGAAATGTATTATTTGAACATTTTATTGCTAAATGTTTTATACATAACTATATTAAAATTTGATTTGCTCTGACTAAAAAACATCACTATTATTCTATGCAGACTAAATATTTTAATAATATTGGTCTTTTAGTCCGTAAAGGGGCATTTGTTATCAGTGTTGGGGAAAGTTACGCATTACAATATTGCGTTACTCCATTAAAAAAGTAACTAATTACGTTACTTTTTATGGAAAGTAATGTGTTATGTTACTTATGCGTTACGTTTTAGATCTGGACAGGGCTTGCTTGTTTGTACATCTGATTTCTCTCAACATGGGCACAGGAGAGCTGTCAGTTAATAAACTGGAGAAAAAAAAAGTAACTTGCGTTACTTATCTGAAAAAGTAACTCAGATATTCTCTTGTAAATTAAAAAGTAATGCGTTACTTTACTAGTTACTTGAAAAAAGTAATCTGATTACGTAACTCGCGTTACTTGTAATGCGTTACCCCCAACACTGTTTGTTATGGTAGGCTATCTAATAGCACTTACACTGGAGCGGCCAGTAGAGGTCGCGCTGCTGCAACAATCCGACGGAAAAGAGACAGAAAAGGGAAAACACAACTCATTCCCGTCGTGTATCAAATGACCGCGGACACTGAAGCCAGTAAATGCCTGTAAATGTTTCTAAATGCCGCAGTGAAGATGAAATCAAACTGAAACCTGCCTGTAGCGTTACGCACGCCTCATCTCAATCGATACCGCTGACAGACTCTCTAGGCACTGAAATATTGAGCAAAATCTAAATATTAATCTGCCTAGGACACTAAAGTAGGCCATCCTTTAGCTTAAAATGTATTTGAATGTGAGAATGTTTGCCGTAGCTACTTCCTGCCAGGGTTTTCAGAGGCTTTCCAGATTAAAACGATTGACAGATACCAAACCAGTGAGGTTTACGAGATCGATATGCCCTCTGGACTTCTGCAGATATCTGGTAAATATTTAATCGTAGTAAACATAATTATACAAACCTGTTGAAAACAGTTGGTTTCACCATTTCGTGAATAAATGTGTTAAAGGGGTCATATGATGCTATTTCAAGTTTTCCTTTCTCTTTGGAGTGTTACAAGCTGTTCGTGAATAGATAAGATCCCTGAAGTTGCAAAGACTAAAGTCTCAAAACCAGAGATATTCTTTATCAAAGTTAAGACTCTGCCACGCCCCCCTAAAACGGCTCGTTCTAACACGCCCCCACATATCTACCTCACTATGTGGAAATATTTGCATAATGCCGCCCAAATGTCATTGTCATTGTTGTCAAATGTAAATGTAAATGTACAATAATGTACAGTATTTGAAAAATAATGTGTTTTTTGAACATTAAAGCATGTCAACATATTCTGTTACACCAAATACACAAAATAATGATCTTTAAAAAAGCATCATATGACCCCTTTAAGAATCTAAAATTGTTCCTATTATAATAACAACAAAAATACTACAAAAAAATCTACAGGATAAACTGAAAAACCTTTATTAGAGCTATAAATATTTTTTTAATACAGTAGGATATTCTATTTTAATGCAAGAAAAAAAATATGTAGAGCACTGAATTATGTTTCTCAGCTAATTTATTTCTAATTTATTATAAATTA